TTATGCCCAGAAATAATAATTTCCTTAACTTGTTTTTTGACGACATAATAACTATATTCAAAGCATGCTGTGGCAACAATGAATTTAATAACGTTGCATAGTAGACGATATCGTATTCGTTTACATTTTTTGCCGATAGTCATAAAACGGCTATAAACCGAGAATCGGAGGCATGAGGAAAGAGACGGATCTGAAAATTTTCAAACATTGTCTCTTGCAAGTCTGGATGAGATGAGAGATGACTGAATCGTGTTGTTGAAGTAACGTTAAAAGTAGTTAAAAATTCATACTATTAACCAAAATATACGTATGTATGTGATGGTAGCGATGTCAAAGATGTAAAGTTACTTACCTAACTTGCTATGTTGAGGAGCCTTCTTCCAGAAACACGCACATCAAGATCATTCACCTAAATACGAGCCCCTTCCCACTTCAGTTGGCCCACTTCAAGATTTGTACCCAAATATGCCTTTATAAACTAAACATGACGAAACTATTTACTTCTAAAACAATTTATTTTCTCAAAAATATTTTAGATACGCTCTAGTCGTAAAAAATCCATATTTGAAATCACTTAGACCTATAACTAATAGAACATCTGAACAAATAAACAATGTGCGAATAAATGCGCGAAGTTAACAAAGCAAAAATTGAAAGATTACCATTGGATAACATCACCTTTATTTTTTATTACGGCTGAAATTCTTTGGGGCATAGTGTTGACCAAGTTTTGGCAAAAATTTGGTATAAAACAATCCCATATTTCTTGAAGCTTTTGTCTCAGTTCGGTGATTGTACGAGCAGGATGTTGTCGTAGAATCTTTTTCATCTCGCGCCACAAAGTTTCAATAGGTGACAGATCTGGACTGATAGAAACCCATTTCAAAAGTGGTACATTATTTTCTTCCATCCATTTTATAGCTTTTTTGAGGTATGGCACGCTGCACCATCTTGCTGAAATACAAAATCTTGGCCGGATGTCAAACATTCTTCCATCACTCGTAAAAGCGATTATTCTAAAATTGCCAAATATTTGTTTGTATCCACATTTCCATCAATAAAATGAAGTTTTCCTATTCCTTTTGATGAAATTCTGCCCCAGACCATAGTGGATGCTGGAAATTTCACTTTTCTCTTCAGACAGTCAACATGGAATGCTTAATTTTTTGCGAATAACTCTACTGTGACTGTCACCAACACAAACTTCGAATCGGGCCTCATCACTCCATTGTATTGCACACCATTGTTGAGGTGTCCATTGTCTATGTTCTTTAGCCCATCTAAGCCGATTTTTCTTTTGCAGTGGAGTTAATAGTGGCTTTTCTTTGGCCTATAAACAAGTTGTGCAACTTTAGGGTTTCCACTTCACTTTTTTTTTGTAAGAAACCAAATATTTGTTTGTATCCACATTTCCATCAATAAAATGAAGTTTTCCTATTCCTTTTGATGAAATTCTGCCCCAGACCATAGTGGATGCTGGAAATTTCACTTTTCTCTTCAGACAGTCAACATGGAATGCTTAATTTTTTGCGAATAACTCTACTGTGACTGTCACCAACACAAACCTCGAATCGGGCCTCATCACTCCATTGTATTGCACACCATTGTTGAGGTGTCCATTGTCTATGTTCTTTAGCCCATCTAAGCCGATTTTTCTTTTGCAGTGGAGTTAATAGTGGCTTTTCTTTGGCCTATAAACAAGTTGTGCAACTTTAGGGTTTCCACTTCACTTTTTTTTTGTAAGAAAACTTACCTTTCAAGTGCTAAATCAAAGTTTGTGAGCCTCTCTATGAGTTGTGGACCTCGAAATTCTCCTTCCAACAGCGTCACTCCACAGAGCACTTATGTAATTGTGAATAATTGGCACGCCTGTTTTTCACGATTATTCTTCTTAATGCTCTTCGGTCGGCATTTGTGATAATACTTTTTTTCACATATCATGGCTTAATATTAACTGAACCAGTTACGTTATATCTTCTAACAATATATCTCACATTGTACCGCGATAAGACTAACAAAGTTGCGATTTCTGAGTTTGATTTCCCAGAATTAAAAAATTTAATTATCAGTAACCGAATTTTCTCATTAATAACCTTTCTTCTACCCATTTTGAAAACCTTAACTACCCAAAACTATTTTAAACGTATTCTGACAGCTGTGATTAATAAAAACAATTGTCATGGCTTTTATTTTTCACAGCCACCTATGCGTTATAGACTTATTTTGCATTGAAATGAAAATAGGTTGATATGCTGTAATTGCAACATGTGTTATTTTTATGCTGCAAATTTGATTAGGGAGTGATAAAGTTGGTGTTTTCTACTATATATTATCAAAATATTCATTGTTAATATTTTAAACCGATAACACCCCGCAACTTTTTTATTATTTGTGTTTGATAAGAAAAAAACTAAGATTTCAATAGTTGGGCCAACTGAAGTGGGAAGGGGCTCGTACATATCTCATTTCACTTTCACACTTTAGTTCTTTATTTAAAAAATGTACTACAAAACTCAATCACTTTCTTCCGAATAATATGTTCCCGAGTACCGCTCTGCTGCATCGCACTGAATTAACCTGCCTGCTTTTGTTTTTTTTTACCGTTGCTAAAATGTTATCTCTTTGTTTTTGTGAAGAAAGCAGTTTCTGAGAGCTGAATAGTACAGATATTTTTAGTTATCGCCCTTTCATTTGCTAGTATTCAGCATAACAAAATGCCTCGAGTTCCAAGACGTCCAAGTTATCACCATGTTAGCGACTTTGACAGGTGTAGAATTATTGCCTACCGAGATGTTGGTTTGTCCTATCGCGAAATTGGCCGCCGTGTCAATTGTACTGCACTGACGGTAATGTGGGTGTGTCGTGTGTGGATAGAAGAAGGTAGAGGAACGCGAAGAAGGAAAACTGGTCCACTGAGGCGTACCACAGAGCGTCCTGATAGACGCTTCAGACTGCTAGCCCCACGATACCGTTCTGCTACTAGATCGATCATTTTGTCGATGCCTAGACGTGCACTGCAGTGTATGCAGCTGCGAGGTCGCGTAACACATTAATTTCTTTTCCTTTACTTTTCAATAAAATTTCGTGAGAATACTATCGTTTCATTCTTGCTATAAGACTACCTCATTGCCAAAACATCAAGTTGAAGAAATTATTTTTTCTGGGTGTACCAATTCTAATGTTATATTTCTATATTTGTATTTTTTGGAATGACTGACGAATTCGATACATTAACTTTTAATGTCGAATTAATGATGAAATGGATATGTTATATTGCTTTGCATGAATCTGACGGATTGCCTACACATTCTGGGATATCCCGCATACAACGAGTTTCCATTGTAAGCCATTAATCCGTTGAATAGGAACGGTACCACTTATACAGGAGATTGTGATTTTAACGTAATGGCTCTTCTGTCGATCAGGCTAACTTCATGATAGAGTGCGCACACAGCAATGGAATTATTCAATGAGTACTAACGAGATTCTCCTATACGGAGCTAATCCCTCAAGATTTGATTTGAATGAGCTACGAGTTTGTATTTATAACGATATGGCGTCACTTCAGCGGTTTGAGTGCCTTGTCAATTTTGATGTTTTGTTTGTATTCGGTTGCACGTGGTCCGGAATGTTGCATAATTCAGGCATATCGGGGCAGTTAAGGGGATTGAAATACGGATGGAGTTGAAATTAGTAGAAAATCAGACGTTCAAAGCGTAAACATACTGGATTTGTAAAAGATCCGTTCATTTGCACAAACTGTTTTTCGTTGGCTCCAATTTACTGCACTGTAGAAAATAATGGTATCGTCGGCAAAACTTACAATTGAAGGGTGCAATAACCGACCACGTGCACATTTCTTAGTTTTGAGAAAAATGAGAAAAAGTCGTTATTCACTCATACTTAAAGTGTTGCGAAATTTGTTATTTTGCAGCCGTACTTTGGCCAAAAACTCATCTTTTCCATCAATATACGCACAAATATTTACTTTAGATTTTTTGAAATTTGAAATTGAACCTTCCACGTGGACGGTTATTGTCACCAAAATGGGAGGAATTCTTATAAAAAAAGAAGAAATGCTATTATTTTTCAAAAAAAAACTTCTTTATTGGGTATAATAGAACTAATCAATAAACAAAGTGCATACTAACACTTAAGTAACGTAAATAAATAATTTAAACGACAATCAAACGAAACAGAACAGTCTGAATAAGGTATATCGAACTAGTCAATAAAAAAGTGCATACATCACATTAGTAGGTAACCCAAAGAAATAATCAAACGAAACAGTACAGTCTGAATAAGCTCTAATCAGAATCCCCATCTGTCCTTTCGATCGTATCATAAAATGTTTGACAAATGGGAGGCACATATTTTCTCACTAATGGCATAATGCTATCGTATTTAGCTGCTTTCAGTGGTAGCTTCTTGTTATATGCTAGAGGAGCTCTGTTTAGGTCAATAGGGGTACCTGCGCATTTATTTAAGGGATATGAGATTGTAATGGCAGGATTATGTGTTTGAGATACTGAAATATTCTCAGGGAATGTAGAATCATATATAAAGAATCTATATTTCGATAATGTAAATGGTTGTTTTTTAACCACAGAAGTTTTTTTAAAAAAGGCTCGAGATATGTTTTAAAATCAAACACCATATCCTGTGTTACTCTTTCAACGGTAAACTTCTTACCACAGTTTTCTACTAACGAATACCATTCTTCAGGCAAATACAAAAGTTCTTTTTTACGTTTCTTTTTTTCAATTTGTGCAAATTCTCGGTCACATGGCAAAAAGCTATGACCTGGCTCTGGCACTATTTTAGAAAATCTTCCGTTGTTGACTAAAGTTGACAGAAAGTGGACCATTGCCCCAGTTTTATTTTGCCCCCCACATAACGGTAACTGACCTGCTTATATATTTGTTAATGAAATGCCACAAAAAGGATACTGATTCTATAGAGCCTTTCTTCGCTACAGTTTCGTCAAACATATAACTAACCGATTTGTTATTGGAACAAGAGTAGAAAAGCTGATTATATACCCAAATCTGCCTAGCATAAAATATGTCCCCTGTAGTCAGCACCGAAACAGGCAAATTTTGCTGGTAATCGAAGCAAATAGTCTCCACAGTTTCGTTAGTTCGTGCCATTTCAGTTTTTTCTTTCAAATCGTCGTAAAAAGCTTGAGCTTTCCGAAGATGAACATCTTTTTGAACTTTTAGATGCTGCTTAAGTTCATCCGTAGAAGCGGCATCAAGTTGTATTTTCAGTAGGTCACAAGTAGCACAAGTGTCCGAACGCGGATATCCGAATGACAAATTAAAATGTTCTGTAAAATACCTATAATAGTAGTCATACGTTACTTTAGGTTTCGCTTTTTCATGGCTTTTTATCAGGCTGTACTGTTCAGGTTCGCATGTTCATGCATTTTGCGGACATTCAACTCTGCTGATAGGTACTTCTTTTTATTTTCATTTCGTGAATAGTGTGATTCACGTGCTGGAAAACTGTTTATATGGTCCTCAATCTGTGCTACAACATTTTCCGGTAATTTGTTTGGTCGGTTATGGTGCTTACCACGGGAATCCTTTTGAAGCAGCAGACCAGAAACTCTTGACTGTGAAATTCTTGTTACTCGTGATCGGTGAATCGCATGCAAGTTACAAAATGCTGTGCGGCACACTTTTTCAGTTTTTGAAGAGATTTTAATACTATAACCATAAGAATATCTTTTTTTTCACCCACGCTAGTTTTCCTCCTTCTGGAGATTTTTTTTACATCTATGAGCGCTGCTAAGTAACTATCCTGAATGTTCTTATCTCCCATTGCATAAAACTCTGTAAATATTGCATCTTTTTCCATTTCCGTGAATTTTTCGAAACACTTCTTACGACAATCACATCTGAATCCCTGCTGTTTTGCTTCAATAGTATTACCTCCACTACTTTTATATTCTTTGCCAGAATTCCTTTCCAACTTCCTTACATTTCTTTTCCATGCTTGAGGAGTGCGCTGATGTTTTTTTACCCTCTTTTATTAGAGGCTTTTCTGCAGGTTCATCTGCATTAAAAGAAATATATGCATTACAAAGCTAGTGAACAATACTAGATCACTTACCTTCCTCAGTTGAGCTGCTTGAGTTGTCGCCTGCTGTAAAATGCTTTGAGATAGGTGTCTGATTTATACCTGACGTACTAGCTTTATTTATTTCTTCATCTACAAGGAATTATTTACATCATTGTTATTTTTATCATTTTTTAAAGTTGATCAAATTACCTTGTTCCTTATCGTCGTTCAAAGCATCTTGGTCAGTAACAGAATAGGCATTACTTAATGATTTAATAAAACACGTTCTGCCATTTTTGTTGCCACTCTCACTTTCCAATACATAATCTGGGTCCATATCATAATTATCGGAGTCATGGTATGGATCACTTTCACTGGAAAACTCACTTGAGCTGTTCATTTTCACAAGGCGATGTGCACTCCACAAACGTCAGAAAAGTAAGGCTAGACCTTGCTCAAGTTTGGGCGCAAAAACCGTCCGCTTATTGCGCCCAATAATATTGATGGTGAGAACTACGTCAGGGATATATTTGGTGCAAAAAGCGACCACGTCGATTTAAGTGGAGATTTATACACAATCCGTGTACTGTTCTTGCTCCAAACGACGCGGATACATTTTTCAAAGCAAAAAAGTCATAATCTCAATTTTGACAAAATTGGTGCCGGTTTTTGCACCGGGCCCTTCAATTTTTCCAGCTGTTTGAAAGTCGTACAAATCATTCAAGTTTATATTGAATAATAATGGTCCTAATACAGTGCGCTGAGGAACGCCACAGGTTATTTTTTGAAAATTACTATAAACTCCATGAAGACTGACGCATTGTTCCCTGTTCTGTAGGTAACTGTTGAGCAGCTTATGTTCTGTCGCTCTTTTCCCTATGCGCCACATAGCATCAAGTAATTGAGAATGATCAACTGTCTCATCATCAAGTCATCGTTAGTTGTCAGAGCGGTCCGTGTGACCTTAGCTCTTAAGTCACAGTGTCAGTTTGTAATTCTGTCAGGTCTGGTAACCCAGAAACTAGACAATTTTAAGGAAAAAAGGGGGAAAGGAAAGGAGAGAAGGAAGAACGAGAGCAAAGAGGAAAAAGAGAATCTTTTAGGATAGGCAGCGTTTAGGCATTATTAAAATCACTTCACAGATTGTGATATGGTCTAAAAATATTCGATTTTTTCTAAGGATTTTGTAAAAATGCTCCCATTTTGGTTGCTCTAAGTTCGCGAGATAATTTTGATTACAGTGCGAACCGCGGCCTTTTGTGATTGCGAACTTGCTCGACTGTGTAGTCCAGTGACTCACGCAACAGAGGGTTGCTGTGCGATTCCGCTAGGCTATAGGGCCGCTGCGCCTGTTGCTTAATGTAGTCCTTTAGGTAAGGGATATCGAGGTCTCTATGTAGAGTTTCGTTATAGACATACCATGAGGCATCAGCTATAGTGCGCAACGTCCTGTTTTGCAGAACCTGCAGATTTCGCATGTGTGTTTTAGCAATAAAACACCAAGCCGCACATGCGTAAGTCATTGCTGGCATTATGACCACCTTATAGAGTCGAATCTTGTTAATCAAACTTAATTTTGAACTTTTTCATAATAATGGGTAAAGCTGTCGAAACGAAATTTGGAATTTACTTTTTAGCGAATCTATATCGTTCCGCCAAGTCATCCCTTTGTCCAGAATGACACCGAGATACTTAGCGGAGGATTCCCATGGTATACGAAGTCCATTCATTGAAACTTCAGACGGAACGACGCGACGTATTTTTGTACAGTAGATTGCCTGCGTTTTCGAATGGTTTATTTTAATTAGCCACCGATCCGCCCAATCTAATACTTCCTCCACCGCACCGCAGTCTGTCATGGACCAGGTCACCAGATCACGACTGAGCCACCAATGCAGTATCGTCAGCATAGAGATAGACTACACAGTTGCTGGGACTAGGGACGTCATGGATGTACAGTGAGTAAAGGATAGGTCCAAGGACCGAACCCTGAGGGACGCCGGCTGTCGACAGGACATTGTCAATTTTGATCCGAAATTTCCTACCTTCAAGGAAGGATTTCAGTAGTTTTAGAAGCCAAAAGGGAAGCCCTTTTGGATTAGTTTATACAAGAGGCCCGCGTGCCACACCTTCTCAAATGCTTTTGAGACATCCAAAAGCAAGATGCCAGTACTTTCGTTAAGGGTGAATCCTCTGCTTACACGTTCCACCAGCCTAACCGCCTGTAGCTCCGTACTATGTTCAGACCGAAAACCGAATTGCACGTCAGGAATCACATGGTGATCTGACGAGAAATTCTCAAGGTGACGTAGAATCACATTTTCAGCGAGCTTAGACGCAGCTGACAGCAGGCTAATGAGACGATAATCCTGGGGAAATATCGAACCCACCTTCTTTGGAATCATTATAACTTAAGCGGCCTCCCACGCGGATGGGAAGTATTGGATCCTTAGCGTGGCATTGACTATTGCCACAAGATAAGTTAAGGATTTCGGCGAAAGCAGCTTCAGCGCCTTATTAGTCATTTGATCCTCCCCAGGTACTTTACGCACTTTAAGGTCTTTAATATGACCTTGAATCTCTGCTGGTGTGCAATGCGGGATCTCAGGAGATGCCGCTGATGTGCTAAGCAGATCTTCGGTTGAAGAAGCTTCTGAAGAAGAATCTTCTGATGACTGTCACTGATGCCGCTGGCCCTAAAATATCTCCTGACAGATCTTACGATGTGTTGCTCCTCGTCGAGGTCATCATCAAGGTCATAGTTGAGAGAGAACTGTCTTTCCATGGCATCGGCGAAAACCTCAACCTTCTCCTCGGTCCTGAATAAAATGCCCCCCGGACCGTGAATGTGTGGGATTTGTCCAGGCTTTCCGTTTTTGAGCGACTTCGCCACCTTCCAGAGAGTATTGCTTGAGTCAAGCATCCCGCCAGAAAGTCGTTCCGTTGCTCATTGCGGAATTCATGAAGACCATTTCTTACTTCATGAACAAGATTCGTCGCTCTGCGAATGTCATCAGGATGACAAGACCTTTTTGCTTGCTTAGTTGCAGCCCTTTTAACAAGAAATTTTCTGACGAATGTCTGGTGGCAGAAAAGGTCTGCCGTATCGCTGCACGGGAAGTACAGCTGCACGCTGCAAAACTTGCTGAACAAAGATTGTCCACTCTGCTTGAGCCGTATCTATACCGTTCTCATCATCTATGATCGGAATATTGGGAAACTCTCTGAGGAGCGACTTGTATAGCTCCCAATCAATGCGTTTCCTTGGAGGGGTTTCATCCCCCAAGATCTGCTACACCTACTTCCAAAACGACGGGAAGATGATCGCTTGAGATGTCATACATGATTCGAGAAGTGATACTGTATCTACAGTTTTTGGATAATGCAAAATCAAGAACAAAAGGTGCCTGAAAGTGGTGCGTCGGCTCCTCAGTGCTATGTATGAGGTAGACATTTCGTATCACATGGTTGTACAGTCGGATCCCACTGGTGGAATTCAACCTAGAATGCCATGCTCGATGTTTGCAGTTGAAGTCCCCTGCCACAATAAGTGGACCCGAGCAGTCTATAAGGACTTCCAGATCCGCCTCTTGCAGCCTGAGACTACACCTGACATACACCGATGTGATTTTTAACGCCACACCTCCCGTCATATTGACCTCCACGGAAGCCGCTTCGATGCTCTGTATCTCGGCGTTTGTGCTACTGTGGTAGTCAATACCGCGTTTCACTAGCACTACCAAACCGCCACCCCGTCCAGTCAATCTATCAGCCCAGATAACATCGTAATTTGGGAAAGCTAGACGATCTCCCGGATTAAGTAATGTTTCCTGCAGCAAGGCCACATCTATACTTTCGTCCACAAGAGCTTGATGAAACTCCCGTTTTTTGGGAATGTCCCAAACAATACCAAAAAAGAATTTTGATAAATGCAGGCTATCGTCGATTGTACCTAGCCATTTGCAGGAAAGAGCGCCTGCAAAGTCTGTGTTGCCCTAATCAGAAGACCTATGATCTGCTCTAAGGACCTTAGCGCGGTTGCCAGGTCCACATTTTGCGTCTTCGCGGAAGATCCCACAGAGGG